TGGGACGCGGAAGAACAGGATGTCTGTCAGGCGCTCGTGGGTCCTGTATCGGTCTCTGAGCGCCGCCGGGGCCTCTGTACCTATTGTTGTTATTCGGCCTCCCGCTCCACGCTGGACCTCCGTTCGCACGCTCTCCACTAGCCGAGTCATTTGGCACTTCCTCAATGATCAGAATGGGGGGTTTCTCATGGCTGAACCGATGCCCGTCGTGCCTATGATCATGGTGGTCTCTTGCAGAACCTTCTCCTCGACGCTGGTCTCGGTCTCTTTCTCTCTGGCTATTTCCTTCATCTCGTCGGTGCGACTTTTCATGTCGCTCTCGCTCCCTCTGGATCGCTCTCTCGCGCTCAGCCTGTCTGATTCTGTCATCTTCGTTCCTCCGGCTGTCGATTATCCTGGAGGACGGCCGGACGTCATACGAAGCACTGGCCAAAGCACTACCTCGCAGGGCCTCTTTCCTTTGTTCGGCTTTTCTAATCTCGCGTTCGATCTCCTCCTGTCGGTCTTGCTCAATTTTCTTTTCTATTCCGCTTTGCGAGACGAATTGCTGAGATGGTCTGTGAGGGTCAAATTCTCCTCGTCTCCTCTCAAGCGCGATGGGCGTGCCTCGCCTCTCTTCCCGATCGCGCTCCCTCTTCGCTTCGATTTCTCTGTCTCGCTCGTAGTCCGACTGCCGTCCCTTTCCTCTGTCTCGTCCTGCTTCTCTTTCCCTCTCAATGGCTGCTTCTCTCTCTCTGTCCCGTACTCTCGCTCTCTCTCTTTCAGCAGCAAGTTCCCTCTCCCTTTGTTTCTCGCTGTCGCGTTCCATCTGCCTCTCCTTTGCTATTGCCCTTTCCATTTCCCTCTCTCTGAGCACGTCGCCGTGGTCTCTCTCCAAAGTCCTCTCGTGGCTCCGGAGTTCCTGCGAGATCTCACTGAGTGGTTTTATATTCACCTTTAAGCTTTGTCGCAAAGGCATGGTCTCCAAGCCAGAATCTTCGCCGATATCGATGGGTCGTGAGAGGTCGACGCCATCAGATATCTTTTCCGAAGTTCCTTGGCCGACGCCGAGGACGAGGCACATAGAGAGTGCAACAAGGATCATTTTTTAACGTTTAGAGGCTTCACCTGTAATTGCAGATATATAAATTAGAGCATAGTTCCAGTAAGTTTCCGAATAAACTATTACATATGCGCTAAAGTAATACAAAAAAGATCCTACACATGTATGAAAAATGTGAGTAAATAAAATCAAACAATAAAACATAAACACCATAAAGTACAAAAAGATCTTTGAGATTAGTATATGGAAGAAAAAGAATATGTTGAAAGATAGTGTTACTGTATGAAATTAAGTAAAGTCAGATGTCATAAGAAGAAAGGCGGATATCCAACAGCAGATCCACTTCATTTTAGGGCCAAACTATCGGTCTTCCCACTCTAGACCCCCTGTGAGTGGATACTGCTGCGCCAACGGGAATTCGCTGCTGGATTGGAGCGAGAACAAGGCAGCGGCGCAGCTACCAGGACAGCTGGACGATCTGATCGCCCAGCAGAGGATCTACGAAGCTCACATAAGGTGCATAAGTAAGAACCGTATTCATGTTGACAAATATGGAAAGGTATGAGTGAGAACGAATATCTTCACAATACAAATGATTTTTTTTCGGTTTCGAATATATCTTCGTACATCTCTTGAATTGTGAAGATATTCGTTTTCATTCACAAGTTTCCACAGTGCATAAGTAAGTTAGATTGACGCGAGAGTAACCCAAGGCAAGTTGATTTTTCCTTCATTGCTTCTTAGTTACCATAACAGTCGTAAGGTGCGCTGATTTAGCTGCGCAATCCTGGGGTTATGAAGTCATGAGGTGTGAAAAACTGAAAACTATGCCCATTTTCCCGCTCTTTGGCAAAGTGGATTAATGTGATATCAACATACAATCGTAGGATTTATCATACGTAAATTAAAACATTAATATTTTTTAACGAATCTTAGTGATTTGAATAGAAAACTAAAATGGAACGTGTAATAATCACCAAATCACAGAAAAATATAATCATCCACTGTTTTTGGCCAACGCAGCCAACAGCACTGTTAGCCATCAGGGTTAAAAGAAAAATCAAATAAAAAGACTAACGGTTCAGATGGAATTTTCAACCTCTGGATCACGGTTTCCTATCCATATGGGCTTCTTTCTTCTGTCGCAACAAGATTTCCCTTGAACTTCTTTTATTGACGGACGCTGTTCTTTGTTCATCAGGCAGAAATGCGCCGCGAAATCTGCGTGAAGGCCGTTCTTTGTGAGGGATCGCAACACCGTAACTCTTCGTTTCATGGATTCTTCTCCAGCCTAGTGATGACTAATTTTCTTTCCGTAAATATAACTAGTTCATATAACTCGTTTCCTTGACTTATGTGATCCCTAACCACAAATTACAAGTACACAAAACCGAATATTACTACAACCTCATAAAACATTATTTTCCTGATATGATCCCCCCCCCAAAAAAAAAAAAA